TAATGTTTTCATAGCGCAGTCGAAGGCCACTCTGAAAAATAGGTTTTTAATCTGGATTTAAAGCAGTTCAGGGTTTCAGTTTTCTGGTAGTTTGTTTCCAGATAAGTTGAGCATAAGAACTAGATGCTGTTTCTCCATGTTTGGTTCTGGATACGTAGAGTTAAAAACATGCTCTGAAAAATAACAGGCAACATCACTTTGAGACGCCTTTAAAACCTTTAGTTTAAAGGCATAATTAACTAAATAATTAGAAAACAAAGGCTTAAAATGTAATTTTCTGTGCATAATGAATTGATTTAATGAAGACTCTGTGATGCTGTTTTGTATTATTTGTTATTACCTTCAGACTGACGGCTCTGTATGGAATAGAGGAGGTCCTTGGGCTGCAGAAGAACGAGACCCTGCTGGTGAACGCTTCGGCCGGAGCGGTGGGAAATGTGGTGGGACAGATCGCCAAGATCAAGGGCTGTAAGGTGGTGGGTACGGCCGGGACGGACGTCAAAGTAGCATACCTGAAAGAGTTGGGGTTTGATGAGGCTTTCAACTACAAAACGGTTCCGTCCCTGGAGGAGGCTCTGAAGAAGGCAGCTCCTGAGGGATACGACTGCTTCTTCGACAATGTAAGTGAAGCCTGTGCAGTTTACTTGTTGGTCATTTATTCCACTTTGTTTTTGCAACTTTTTTTTTTAATCTCTTATTAGGTTGGAGGGCATTTTTCAACCGTCGCTCTACAGCAGATGAAGAGCTTTGGAAGAATAGCTGTGTGTGGGAGTATCTCCACGTACAATGATGCGACTCCTCAGACAGGTGCGTATGTTAAAAATCATTCATCTATAGCGCCTGAGACGGTGATATAGGCAGGTTGGATTTAACTGGAATATTTCTCAGGACCGTACCCACACCTGACAATGATCTTCAAGGAGCTGAAAATGGAGGGTTTCATGGTTAACAGGTGGGAACACAAAAACCTTGAAAGCCTAAAAAGACTGATGGCCTGGCTAAAAGAGGTACGTTTAGGATTAGCTTTTAAAACATCATGTCCTCCTGCATTGGTGCAATTAAATTAATATATTTATTTTACCTCTACAGGGGAAAATTAAGTGCAGAGAGCACATCACAAAGGGCTTTGAGAACATGCCAGCTGCATTTATGGGCCTGCTGAAGGGAGAAAACATTGGCAAGGCTGTAGTTGCTGTGTGAGGTGGTGTTGAGGAATTTCTACATGTAGGAGGGGTATTGTGTAAGAAGAATCAAGGTAAAATGTGGAGAAGATTTGAATGTTTCACGACTAACAATGTAGATTAGATGTAGGATAAGAGCTGAGAACTTCAGTTTGGCTAAAAGATCAAAAATGTATTTGATTTATTTCTAAATCTGACAGTGCACTGAAGTGGCTAACCGATAGCTTAAAGGAAGTTCTGCTAAAATCTAGAGTCAAGTAGTGTCTAGTGTAACAGGAGCTTTCTTCCCGGAGGTGTGCCCTATAAAACATTCATACAGAGGTTACTCTTTCTTACAATACCAACCTGATGATATGAAAACATGACTCAGGGCAACTGATGGTGTTTCAACTGGCCCCACCCATAAACACATCCTCTCACTTTCCTTTGTTGTTTTTCTGGCTTTGTCTCTCTTAACCATTTAATGCAGTCGACTGGGACGTCCTGTTTAGAAATCTAGCTCCATTCCTTAGCATCCTGCCCTTTTAGCTGCCAGCTAGCTGTATTTGTTTCTTTGATGCATGACATGGCTACAGTAGAATGGAAGTTAGGCTAGTTTAATTTAACAACAGACACCAAAAATCTTTTCTGTGGTTCCTGCAATTCTTTACCACTAAATGTCTAAAACAGGACTTTGTTTGACCGTCTTTTATTGGAATTATAGGTGCAAGTTAGAAGAAACATTTCAACCTGTTTTGCACATCTAGAGATGCAAAATCTTCCCTTTTATACATTGCAAAATAGCCAAAGAATTATCAGATTGGATGGAGATAATCGGTGAACGTTGATCTCTGGGCATTGACCGGGTCGATCTAATTCTTGCATATTCTATGAATTCTTCCACTGAAGTTCCTGCTGCACGTTTTAAGCCAATTGCTAGAGGAGTGAACCTCCATCCAGGTCTGAAGTCATGGGTGTAAAAATGTAAACCAGTGTGGTATGAATACTTTGCTGAAGGCCTTACTCTACAATGTTTCCAAATGTCCCTTTCTATCTTTTACATATAGATTACAAATAAACGCCAAGTATTATGTAATAAATGACATGCACTAATTTTGTATTGAACAGCACTAAAAGTCCTCAATCGTCAGCTAGATAGAGAATGTATCTTAATGTGTCTTAATCTGAAGTGTTTACTATTACTGTTGTTGCATTAGTGCATTTTATGCAGTTTATGTGCCTCTTTAATATTTACTGCTTGAATTTGTATGACAAATAAAGGATGCCAATATGTGAATTTCTCCGTTGTGAGATCAATAAAGCTCATCTAATCTAATCTAATTCTTTGTGCCTCTTTGAATTGTGTAATGGACTTTAGGATTCAGACGATGGTTACTATATAGTTTAAAACCTTATGAAAAATATTCCTGTCTGCACATCCTCGTTAAAGTGCCTGATTTTGTGATGTAACAAAAAGTTACATTATTTTACCCTTAACTGTAGAACTCGACTCAGAAACAATGCTTTTTTTTTTTAAGAGGGTTAGAAATAAAACATAAATAAAAAGTGTGGGTGCACACTCCTTTTTTATTAATAGTATTTTATTTTTTTACCTTGTTGCAGCAAAAACTGTTCAACAGAGAGGCCCTGATTCAGCCAGCAAGAGAGTTAAAATGATTTAAAGACTTTGGAATTGTTAACAAAATGGGGGGGAAAAGAACAATTGTGACAATACAGAGAACTGAAGGTCCCTCCCAAGATTAAGAAAATAATAGAAAATTAGTAAATAAAACTGCAAGAGGCATTACCTACTATTCCTGGGAAATTGTGTGTTCAGTTTACAATTATAATTATTTACAATTATTTATAATCCCAAGGTAAGACGATTGTGGGGGATTTTTTCTTTTTATCGGAAAAAGAAAAATCCATCTTCAGTCAGAGTTTGAAAAAATTTAGCCAAAAACAGCAGGAAATGTGTTAAACATTTCAGAAAATGTGTTATGGTTTGAAACTGTACTTTCACTTTCTGACCTTAATTCCAAAATGTATGTTGGACAGAAAAAATCAAAACAAGAAAAAACACGTGTAAATATTGAGCTATGCTTTGTGACTGCTTATCTTCAGATGGATTTCAGGCTTTAGTCAAGTATCAAGAACTCCCAAGTATCAGTGTTGACACACAACCTGCTAAAAAGCTGAAGATAAAGAGAAATGTTGTGTAATATGACCTGAAGCGTATCTCTCAAGCCACAAATGAGCAGAATCACCAAAACAGGATAAGGGTTTTTGAATTTCCCCATGCAACAGATCAGAGACGCTGAAGTGGATTTAATTATACTTGCTTTTATTCAGTATCTGAGTGCAAAGGGAATCTGTCCATTTAAGAAACATGGATGAAGATGGAGGGGATGGGAAACGCCCCACATGATGGATCAGATTCTGAGATGCAAGACCTTCTCTCTACATTCCTCTTTTATTAGATTTAACTATTTGTTTCAAGTTCTATTTAAATTTTAATTATATGAATACCAGAGCTCTATAGGTATTTAACTGCTCATAAAGTAAAGCATCCTGTCTGATGTTTTAATTTAGAGCTAAATTAGATCAGGTTAGTTTTTTTCTTAGATTCTCCCTGCCAACACAGTCAGCAGAGGGGGACATTTATCTGTTTTCTGTGCATGTTTTTTTTTTATATATATATATATATATAAGAATATATATTTTTAAATACATTTTATCATTTAAGGCAAAATAAATTGTACTCATGTACAATTTAGAACCTGTACATTTGACTGTTATGTTACACGAGAGTTTTTGACATCTCTGCAGGAGGATCTTGGTTGATCTTCCCAGTTTTCAGGACTTTTAAATAGTTCAGGAAAAGGACTCTTCAATCCTCACCCCCCAAGTATAGTTCTCTGTTGTTGTAACTTATTGAAATTTAAGTAAAGCTCGTTGTATTCCTGAACATTGTTTAAAAAGAACAATAAAATGTTTCTTTTTATTTACTATATGTTATTCTGTTTTATTTCCTGTTTTTTTTTTTTTTTTTTTCCTGCAAAACTTAAGAGAACGTGAGAGGAAATGTAACCGTGTAACTGCGGTGAGTAATCATTTACCATAAACCCAGAAATGTCCAGTCATTCTGACTTGTAACAAAGGATCCGCCCCATTTTTGGCCTGAATAGGGAAAGGGATTGAGTGGGGGGGAACTGGAAACAGCAGAACCATCGCACCGAGCTGCGAGTTATAAAACAAAAAAGTCGACATATCTGTTGAAATATGATAGTGGAGTTTTAACTATTGTTTATTTGTGTGTTGCATTTGATTGTTTCATTTTGAGTGTGTACTTTCTTCTCCCGCTAAACGTTCTCTAACTAGCAGCCAAACCTTGTACCGGTAAATTGAAAAGGAGCGGAACTAGTACCGTTTCAGCTCTTTGCACGCAATCTCCGGAAATTGACTCCGGTTTCACTTTATACATAATCAAATACAGTATATATATATAATACCCGTGGCTCCTAATCAGGAAATGTGAAGAAGAATGTATACAAATGAAATAATTTTGACAGTTTTAACTGTCGCTGGGTGCTCTTCAGTAATGAATTGGGAAAATAAATCAAGTCATTTTAATGCGTCGCGATAGTAGTTTTCAAAATAAAAGTGGTCGTAATAAGATTAAATGTGTAAATTAAAACATATAGATATAATCCAAAATAGATGAATTTAAGAAATAAGAATCTCTGTAAAATATGCAATTTGGTTTCATCCCAGGGAGGGGTGGGGAGTAAGCTTCTTAAATCAGAAGCTTTTATTTGCTACATGCCGGAAACTTGGATCCGGCTGCGGTTCACTCTAGCTTGACTGAGTCTTTAAAAACGACTGGGCGTTCGCTGAAACTAAGGTATTTTTTTTCCACACAACCAGAAGCTAGCTGCCGTTATCTTGGCACGCATCCAAAGAACGCTATCATGGTCCGTGTAGTGGAGAATTTGGTAAGTATTTGCTTTTGTTTTTGTTTACCTCTGTTTCACATGTAAAACATTTATTTCATAGTTGTTGGTGTAAATGTAACGCAAAGTAGCACAGAAACGTGTCACCGCGCGCCTCTTCCACAGCCCCCCTTCACTACCCGTGCTAAACGTGTTTTCAAGGCCCGTCAGTTTAAAGCGAGTTTAAGGAAATTAAAATGATATGTACGTGGAGCCATTGATGATTTTTAACCAAAAACATTTAGCCTCCGCGTCCCTCACATCGAACCTGCTGGGTCATCGTGCGCGAGGCTGCTGGACTTTTACCATGATGTAGCCACATCCCTAAAGTTAGCTTCCCATTCATATCTGTAGAGTTCAGTGGTTAGCTAACGGGCTATGTCATTTTCAATTTAAAGTTTTATTTGCGTTTTATAATAAGTTACAAATCGGGTTAAACGTCAAACTACGCCGTTTAGCTAATGAAAACAGCTGAAATTGGAATATATTTTTTTAAGCTTTAAACATAATGACATTTAAACCGGACCTGGTTTTTAAAAGTCATGAAGTTGCTAGAATAAGCCGAATTAGCCCTGAACCCGGAAGAGGCCGACCAAAGCATAGTCTAACAACCCCTAGCCATCTATCCGCCACTATTAAGATGCGTTCAAAACTATTGGACAAACTGGCAGGCATGTTTACTGAGGTACATGGACGTACAGGAGCTGAAACAGAAACTTCTGGAACGATTTTCTGCCGCTCAGAGCAGGCCGAGGGTGGGGGACTATTGAAAGCGTTAAACAGCCCAATGCCCTGTGCAATAACCTTTTTCTGTTTTGACACTCAGTGCAGTAGCTAAGTATATATAAAAATCAATCTATGCAAATACCCTGTGCAATAACCTGTTTCTTTATATTTGACACACAGTGCAGTAGCTAAATGTTTATAAAAATGAATCTATGTAAATACCCTGTGCAATAACCAGTTTCTATTTTATTTGACCCTCAGTGCATTAACTAAATATATATGAAAATAATCTATGTAAATGCCCTGCACAATAACCTGTTTCTTTATATTTGACACTAAGTGCAGTAGCTAAGTATATATAAAAATCAATCTATATAAATACTTATGTAAATATCCTGTGCAATAACCTTGTACAATAATCCTGCTATATTTAAATAAAAAAAAAAAGCTGTTGTAACGAATACATTTCTCCACTCTGAGTTCAATAAAGTCAATCAAATGCAGCTGAGCTGTGGGGTATGGTTGGGTCTGCATTGTGGCTCAGTGACAGACCTTTTCATAATTGGCACACCGCAGTGACCTAGTCTGGTTTTTATCAGGTTAAAATATATATAAATTATATATTTATAGAAAAATAACACACACTGTAAACAGACACTTTTCCTCCATTATGCTGCTAAATCCCCTCTCTAAAATGCCCAATGTTATGCCATCAGCTATAATAAAGTAAAATGAATAAAACACATTTGTTTGATGTTGGAGGATTAGCTTAATTACATTGTGTTTTTTTTTTATGTTTTCTATGTGTTTTATTTTATTTTTTGTTGTCTTTAATTCATAGGGCGAGTTCCAGTCTGCCTTGAAGGAAGCAGGAAACAAACTGGTGGTGGTGGACTTCACAGCTACCTGGTGTGGTCCTTGCAAACAGATTGCACCAGAATTTGTTGTAAGTAGATTTTGGCAGTGAATATTTGTTGAAATGCTAAACTGATTTGTGTTAGTGTTTTTGATATAATTTAGCTTTTTGTAAATAAAATTATTAACATGCTAAACCCTTGAAGCTCTGACTCTAAACCAAATGTGTCTCATATGTTGCCCCTAGCTGTACAAAGGGAGCGGCATCTGTTTGGACAGGAAGCTTGTTGCTGAGGCAACCTTTTGTTTGGCCTTCCTCACCTTGTACAAGGAAAAGGCTATGCAGAAATGCACATTTGGTCTGGCTAACATAGATATCGCTTTATTCAAAACCATTTATTTAGGAATTTATGTTTTTTATACACTATTTTGGAAAGAGACCATATGCAAAATTCAT